TGAGGAAAAACCTGCAGCATCCTTATAGGCTCAGCAGTGCTACGCTGGCTAGCACTATGGAAGAAAGAGATTTGGGGGGCATCATTGACCACAAGATGAATATGAGCCTGCAATGCGATGCTGCAGCTAGTAAAGCGACCAAAACGCTGGCTTGCATCCATGGATGCTTCTCAAGTAAATCCCAGGACGTCGTTCTCCCCTTGTACTCGGCCTTAGTGAGGCCGCAGCTGGAATACTGCATCCAGTTTTGGGCCCCGCAATTCAAAAAGGATGTGGAGAAGCTTGAGAGAGTCCAGAGAAGAGCCACGCGCATGATCAGAGGTCAGGAAAACAGACCCTACGATGACAGGCTGAGAGCTATGGGGATCTTTAGCCTGGAAAAGCGCAGGCTCAGGGGCGATCTGATGGCCACCTATAAGTTTATCAGGGGTGACCACCAGTATCTGGGGGAACGTTTGTTCACCAGAGCGCCCCAAGGGATGACGACTAGGTCGAACGGTCATAAACTACTACAAGACCGTTTCAGGCTGGACATAAGGAAGAATTTCTTTACTGTCTGAGCCCCCAAGGTCTGGAACAGCCTGCCATCGGAGGTGGTTCAAGCATCTACATTGAACACCTTCAAGAGTAAATTGGATGCTTATCTAGCTGGGATCCTATGACCCCAGCTGACTTCTTGCCCTTCGGGCAGGGGGCTGGACTCAATGATCTTCCAAGGTCCCTTCCAGCCCTAATGTCTATGAACTCTATGAAATTTGGAGGAACAGAACTAGACCCAGGCCCAAAGAAAAACTCAGTAAAGAAAAAAACTGTGTTTCAGAGGAAAGTCCTTGGTTATCCATTTTACCTTGGTCTTTGGAAACTACTCATGTTCAATTGCATTCTGGGTGCTTTACAGAAGGCAGACTACAACGAGAACCATTCTTCCTCTTATTAATATGTTAAAGTGTTAAGCCCCAAACTATGACATTTGTACACTTCATTCACCTGCCGATCACATTTTAGATTTCTAAAACTCTTGAATTCACAAAGCAAGCCTATCTTGCAATGCATTACATTTGTTATAAGAAAACACTGCTAACATTAATCTGCTTGTACTGTAATTTGTGATCTCACTCTTTTTATATGCTCTTTTCCACCACTGATTTAATCATCTCCAGGCTAACGCAATTTAGAAAGGCATTGTTCTCACTGAGATCATCACACTGGGTCTCTGCTTTTTACATTTTGCTGGCTATATATATAATTTTATAATTGCACAAATTACTCGTTTCAGCATCCACAGATTCAGAAGGAGTCACAATATATCAAGTATTTATGCTGTGATGACCAGTGGACTCTACATCAGTGGGTAACTGGAATAAGAATTGCCAAGGCAAGTAAAAAGGCATTTTCTTCATTTTTTTTCTCCAGGACCCTGTCCCAACTCCACCCCCCACCTAAATGGCTGTCATTAGAGCTATGCCTGTGTAACAGTTGGAGATGTGATTGGAATGTGTAGGCCTGGGAACATGCTAATTTCAGTATAGCTAGCTCAGGTACCAGCAGCAGCGAAGATGGGGTGGCACAGACCACCCAGGTATCCCTATAGCCATCGTGACTCCATTGCAACTAGTGCCCTTGCTAGCTAGATTAAAGCTACCTTGTTGCATCTCCACATGCTACAGTCATACTTCCCACTTCCCTGTATACTCACTACATCCAGGCATAAAACAAGTGGGTTGATCTCAGCTTCAGGAAATGCCGCTTTGCTTCTTGTCCATGGAGTGACACCAAAAAGTGATGGCGGAGACCTTGATGGCTAAACTAAGGGGTTAGGCATTCAGCTATGGTTCATTAAGCATGCTACAAGCTGGCTCCTTGGCATGCTTTGTTGTTCTGACTTAATGGGCTGGCAGCCTTTTCAAGTCACAGGCTGGAACAACCCACTCCACTTTTCTAGTCCAGGTGGCTTCAGTGTTGCATCAGCAGTGAGAGCGGTTTTGCCTGCATCTATGCCAGAGCCAGGCACCTAGGACTACTGGCATCAGCAATGCTTTTCCCAGCATCCTGGTCCCCAACAGGAGCACAAGTGCAGCTTCCAGCTGGAGGGGGGCTATGCCAGGGCTTGGCAGCTTGGAACTGAACCCATGCTGCTGGCACTGGTTCTCTCTAACCACCTGTTCCCTGGCTGGACTGTGCAGCTTCTAGCTGGTGGTGTCCACATTGTTGTCACTTCTACCCACTCTCCAGCTCCTGGCTGTACCACAGGCACAGCTGAAAGTTGCCTGGCCCCGACTCAGTTCCCCATTTTCTGGAAGCTGCACCTGTGCTGCATCAGGGGGTAGAGAGAAGTGGTGTCAGTGCAAGCACAGGTTCTAGCTGCCCAGCTGCAGTACAACTTCCTAATGCCCAGCCCCAGCTCCTTCTGGTTCCATGGGCTACATCCAGTGGCTCCTGGCCCACAGGCCATATGTTGCCAACCCATGCCATAGCACAATAATGGTTTAGCTCTGAAATGCCTGACTTGATAGTAATAATAAAAGTGTCATGGCTGTTTCCACCCCATAAAGGTAACCCATGGGAAATCATTGGAAACATTCCCAGTTACAATTGGTTTTGAGCTGGGTTTCAAAGTGTTCAAATCTCAGCTGAAAATATCAAGTCAGGCAGTTGTATTCCAGTGCACTAGGCTTAGGACCTGGATTCTCTCTGAGGTGTTGTCACTGAGAGACTGTGGCTCTTCTGTCATTCCTTTTTCCATCTGTGAAATGGAGATAATGCTGCTTACTTGCCCTTGTACACCTCAAAGGTCTTTTGCACTATTCTAAAAGAGCTAAATATTATACTTAGTTTTCTGTCCTGTACTGAATGGGTCTTATGGCAGAATCAGATAGAAATCAATGGGACTCCACTTGGGCATTGGAGCCAGTGAGACTTGGTACAAGTGCAAAACTTCCCCCAGCACGTAACTAAGTTTTGGGCAGAGGGACATAATTGGCACAAATAGCTGTTTTTAATCAAAAATGGGTAGAAAGGAACAGGATCAAAAAACCTGGCTCAAACCAAATGAGTGTCTAGCCAGCGAGGCATGTGTGTTCACACTCTGACTCAGGATAAAAGGTGTGATTTATTTCCCCAGTATGGCAAGACACTGTATGATAACTACAAACGTGCAGTACAACGGGCTGGGTTGGCTGCTCGATGGACAAGCCTAGGGATCGTGGAACCAGCTGTGAGCACAGGATCATCATCAACAGGTACCATCACTGCTCCCACGATCATTTTGCATCACAGTTAAACTGACTAACTGCTCTGCCTAGGATCTATCCTTGGAAAACTCTCCCATTGGATTAATAAAAAAATGTCCTGTTCAGACCAACAGTTGTAACCTAGAGAAGGTCCCGTACAAGTGAGTTTACACTTCTATGACTGCTTCCAGATGTTAAAAAAACCAAAATAATGGCACTTTATTTAAACTCCATGCACTCTTGCATCAAGCCCAGCACATACCCAGAAGAGGCAGAGCATGAGTTGGACCCAGCTGGCCCGATGTTTGTAAAGATTGGGCGTTTTAGTGGGGCTTATTTGTTGCTTTTATCTAATAACTGATGGAATCAGCTTTAGATAAGTGCCAAAAAGTGCTGCCCAAGCACCCAATCTATACAGATGCTGCAGAGCTGGGTCAAAGTAACGCACCGCTTCTTCTGATAAAGCCCATTTTGTTTGTTTGTTTGTTTTCAACATCTGCAAGCAGCCTGAATAGACAAACAAGGCCGCCAAAGCAGATTTAAGTAAGCGCATACTTATGCACGTTATTTCAGTGGCATCTGACCATGGCTTCTCTCCCACTATTTGTTATCCTGACTGAAAGTCAATGCAGACATGAGTGCTAGAATTCTCCAGTCTTCCACTCAAAAGCATCTCTTCCTCCCTGGGCTCATTCTTGGAACTTCTCCTCCAAAGGGTAGATTGGGTGATGCTAATGTTATTTGGGGAGGGGATCAGTACAGCTATGAGCTATTCTGTTCTCTGCTTTCTCCTTATTTTTGCATGGAGACTATTTGGCTCCATCATACCATGGGGCAAGATATCTTTAGCAAACTCATTTTCACCAGAGCACAGTTACAGGATGGGGAGGATTGAGGTATTTGCTGTACTTACAGTATCTCTGTTACCCATTTATTGTTCAGACATAGCAGGGCACAATAATAGTAATACCTTAGTATGTTATTTATTGAGAAAAAAAGTGCTGAGCCCCTTTTCAGTATCATAAAAACTATATCAAACCAAACCAAACTACCTTAATCCTATCAATACTGTCACTTTCTACATTCCCCTTTTTAGCTCAAAATCTTACTCCCCAACCCCTTCAAATACTTTACCTTTTGTCTCTGCAAGTGCCAATATAGAAACGAAAGTGGACTTTGCAGCCTAGATGTGAAGTTTACAAATAGCTAGAAGACAGAGTCCTAAAGTCACTGGGACCTTTTTTAAGGAACTGGCTTCTGAGTTCCAATGAAGGAGGGAGATTTGGAAAGTACAGTAAAATAATGGATGACTTCATTGGGTGTAGAGTCCTATGTCAGCTGATTTTGAAACAGGTGACATAGGACTCCTATGAGTCCTAAGAAAAGGAAACTCCACCTATCCCACGCAGTCAAGTGGCAGTTGCCTTCTAGGCTTTAAGACTGGGGGAAGTGGGAAGGGAATGTGCAGGAGAAGTTTGCTCATTTTAAACTGTGACCTTATTTCAGCGGGAGCAGTGGGCACACTGGGTTTTTAAATGGTCAGTGAGAGCTGTTTTGTGTGTGCATGTATTGTCCATACAAAATATATACACAAGAGGCAAGAATTCCTTTTTCATCTTTTATTGGACCATCTGGGCGAGAAGTTGGTCTGGGAGAGAAGACTAAAAGGAGGATAGTATGTGCCTGAAAGTTGTTAATACTTCTCTCAGCTGTTAATACAATTACTACAACTACCAGTAAAAGATACCATAAAAAGCCTTGCCTCTCACACATTTCCTGGGTCATCACAGCTATAACACTCCAACCCTAACACAACAGATATGCAACAAAAATTTGGAACAAAGTCAAAATGAAAATTAACTACAGCAGTGATAAATTGCATATATTGCAAGCTCTGTCCAAGTACAGAAGCAGTGCAACAAGCCAATATTTCCACTGGCTATTAATCTGAAATAATGGATCATCTTACATGGTCATATACCATGGAAAGATCTTATTAACTGATGTTTTCTCTACAGACTTAGCTGTTGAGGATTATTAGCATCCTAATATGAGCAGGTAATTGGATTTTAACACATAGTAGCTATGACAAAATATGGAGAACTACGTATTTGCCAGAATTCACTTTCCCCATGTTATACAAGCTGGAATGTCTAACTACAAGCAGCTGCTGGCTGACAATTTAAAATGGAGCAGAATATTTTGTTCCAATTACCATATACAGTGTTGGCTGAAATGAAGAACAGCAGTCAGCAGCCCCACACAGAAATGGCAGGGGGTGGGGGTGGGGGAGCTGTCCTTAATCAACCTCAATCACTACTTAGAAAGGCAGGTGGAGTTTCCTTTTCTTCCATCTCATGCAAGATATATATGTAGATCAGTTCTTTGTGGCTACTGTTTATGGTATCTGCAAACACCCTAAACTGCACAATTGGTGTTTTTTAAGATCTTTGGCACCAAACTAATCCCATGCCAACACTCATTGTTTTAATCTCTTTCTCACTATGTTAATCTTCATATACAATGCCAGGATGTTCCAAAGTTGAAAGACACTGTTCTTCCTAGACATACTGCATCATCCCTGGGCTCTCGCCTGGCTCCGTTGGAATCATATTTTGTACAGAACTTCTAATTAAAAGTAGTATTGTTAATTTCCATTTCATTTTAACACAAAACATTGGAACACTTGAATGAGAGAGAGAACACCACAGATAAAATTGCAGAGGGAAGGAGGCCTAGATTCACATTAGCAAACCCAAAGCGAACTTTGGTTGGCTATGTTTGTGTGCATGTTTGGTGGATGGGTGGGACCAAGTGTCCAATACCTTGCTCAAGTCTAGTACAGTTTATAAAATAGAGAAGGACCCATTAACTGAAGGAGATGTTGGAGGAGAGCTTCCATTTAGCTATATCCTAACTTCCTGATTATGTTTTTGTCAGACTGCCCTCTCTAGACAGTGGACTTAAGTACAGTGCTCCCTCCTGATCTTACCTCACACCTCAGTGAGATGACAGTATTTTTGAGCACGTTGTCCCTAAGCTCTTGTAAGTAGCTTTTGAATTCTGTTCATAGTAGGACAGATAAAACACACACAGTAGGTATGTAGGACCCCTTCAATTCACCTTCAAGGACAAATGGACAGGGCTCTTTAAGAAGCAGTAGACAGGCTAGATATCATACTCCTGAGAGCAGTATAAGGGAAGGACCCAGTAGCAAGGGCAGCAAGGGAGTTGACTGGGGAGAAGAGACCCAGGGGAACTGACTGGGGTAAGCCTGGGGAAAACTGAGGGAGATGTAACAGCTTGCAAGGAAAGTCAGCTTGGTGCTAAGTCTGTTCAGGATTCAGAAGCTTCTAGAGGGAGGGGCTGGCCTGAGGAATTAAAAACAGGATTTGCTAGATGAGAGAAAGTCCAAACTAAGAATATGGCATGCCAGGAAGTCCAACAAAACCATGGGTCCTTCAACTAGATTCTTCTCTTTAGTGACCTGCACACTGAATAAGATTAAGATATGGCATGCGAGATAAGCAGGGAGGTGCTGGGGAGAAGGGATGGCTAGAGCAAACAGCCAGTACCGCACTTGGAGCAGGGAGAAGGTGCAAGCTGTTATACTAGGGAAGATGCTTCCCTAAGCTAGGTAACAGGATTTGGGATCCTCAGTGGTGTTCCCACCTCTGCAGCAGGCTCATGCCCACATGACTGATTGTACCTGCTTTTGGGAGCTCCTAATTGAATTTCCAGTCAACATGGAACATAATCCCTATAAAGAAAATGACACTGTGTTAAATGGGTTGAAATAAATCTAAATAAACACATAAAATGCAAAGATCCCAGGCCCAAATCTTCCTTGATACATATCTCTGCAGTGGAATCACTGGCACAGTAGAATTTGATCTTGCTTCTCTGTTAAAAGGTACATGATTTGTAGTTACACAAATCAAATCATTTAACAGGATACTTGGAACACTTCCTATTGCATTCACAGCACTTGCATGCTATTTGCAACTATAGTGATTTTATTTACATAAGCTGGGATGAAAACTTCATGTGTGCTAAGTATACTTGGTCACTTCAATATCCTTATTCCAGAATACCAAATGTTCAGTAAAGGCCTCTGATCCGAGAAGCAACTGAGTATGAACAGGGACCTAATTTAACTTGTGGCAAGACAAAGCCATTTTCATAGCTTTGTCCTGGCATGAGCCCCATTTTGTGGTGGCCCTGCCCCTGAGTGCTGTTTGGCAGAGAGACCCCAGGTGGGAGGAGGGACAAGGGGGTGGCTTCCATCTTGACTGCTGGTTGCCCTTTGTCCAGTCCTACCCCTCAGCGCTGATTGGTAAAGAGGCCCTGGGAGCGATGGGGAGAGTGGGAGGAGGGGCAGCTGTCATCTTGTCTGCTGCCCCCTTTGTGCCGCCCTGCCAGCTGGTACTTTCCTCTCCTGGGCAGTCTGTAACACCCACCCACGAGAAGAAGATTTAATAAAAACTTTTGTAGATTTTGTGGGCAACCCTGGTTTTTGTGAGCAATCCTGGATTTTGCCATTTCTGTAAGATTCATGAAACTGCAATTTAGTTAGGTCCCTAAGCATGAATAGACTGATTGACATTGAAGGGATAATTCAAATGCTTGAAGCTACATATACATTTAAGTACTTTGCTCAACTGGGCCTTAAATTGGCAGTCAAATAAGCTATGACCAATTAGTCACATGATTTGAACTGAGAAACAGGGCACTGAATTGTAATTTCCAATACAGTAATGAATATGGCAGTAAATGTTATGCAGACTTTCCAAAACCTGAGCATCTACAAATCCCATGAACTCCAGTAGGAGCACCTTTAAGAAGCCGGTCCCTAATTTTCTAGCCAGATTTCTCTGCCCTCCATTGTAGTACTATTATAATCTGGGCGTGCCTGTGGGAACACTTTCTATTTCTGTTCTGTCTAGTTTCTCACCTTAGGTAGTCCTACCTTTGAGGCTCAGGCTACTATTATTTTGTTTTATGCCATGTGATAACACTGACTGACATTACTCATAATAATATAAGCACAAACCTGGAAATTGCAGATTTCTTTTATTCTTCTAACTGGAAAAAGCAGTCCACAAACGTGGGCATCTCAGTCATGACATCTTTCATCTTTACTGCATCACAGTGTTGTAAACTACACTAAGAAAATCAGACCAGCTCCTGCAGTTCAGAAATGTATGCACCAGACACCAAAGAATATCTGCTTCTTTCACATGTTTGTCTCTAAAAATCCCAGACTAAACTGGAGGGTTCATTTAATCCTTAGCAGACTATACAGTTTATTTTTCTAGTTAAAACCAAAATACTTTCTGTTGATCTCCCTTTCATTTATAGTGGTTGGCAGTACCAAGATATTTATGCACAGCTCCTTACAAACACACCAAAAGTATACAAAACTTTTCCAGAGTTTCAGTTTAGCCAGCAAATATTTGCAACTCTGGGACTATTCAGGTTTCACAAATCTTCCATAAGGCCCTGCTAGGGAAAACAGATTCAGAGCTATCAGCTATTTTAATAATGTCAAGAAAAAGATTCTCTTGTCCACATTATTTTAAAACTATAGCTCCAATGTTCTTATCCTTATAGGACTATTACACTTTTATCTCTAAATTGAAACAGGCTCCATTAAAATGGAATGCATTAATCTACAATCCATTTGGAGAATTTAACTTAAAATGGCATCCCCAAGTTTAGTAATGGTAAACTGTGGTTAAGAATTTAAGTAGCAGCAGGTCAGAGAGGGTTATATTGAACTCTGTTCCCTTGCCTCCACACTTGCTTCTCATAAAGGCCAATTACAACTCTCCTCAGTTCCAGTACCAACCTTACCTCTGCCTTGTTACACATCCAGCCACCTTCCACCAATCAAAATGAGGGACCCTCACCCCTCCTCAACTATGTGTCACTACACTGATTCCACTCCTTCCATCTTGGTCATCATTACTTGCTTTCCTATAGGATGGTTACTTGCAATTATGGTAGGATTCATGGGATTATTGATTTTAACAGTTTATTTTTCATAGTAAGTATATTTAAACTGAATACAGATGCAAACAAGCACTGTTGTAATGGGTGATGTGGGGTCTGGGGTTTTGTGTGTTTGTTTGATATTGTCATATATTTTATGATATTTACTATACAAGAATTGTAACTGTTTCTCCTCTGGTAGAATCCAAACACATTGTTTGGTAGTCCTCATTCCTAATATGCCCTTGCTTCCCCAGGTTGAAAGAGATAAAACTGTTTTCTTCTCTCTCTTTCGGGTGTATTATAGGTGCTGCTCAAGCAAATGGACAGATCCATCACACTGTACCTCCTGCAAGCAAGGAGTTTTCAGAGGCCCCAAAACAAGCAGAGATTGCAAAGGTACATAATTGAGGTTACTATGGGTGACCTGCGCCCTAATGTAACTCAATTGCTGTTCCAAACAGTTTCCCCTCCCCCTCACTCTACTCTCATAAAGCACCAGTCGGGGAGGGGAGAGGTTTGTGTGTGCAAACTTTATGGCAGGTGTGCCACAAATTAGCCCCATGCCCTCCCCAAGTGCCACTCTTATCTCCTTCTCCTGCTTGCTCTTTCTGCTCCCAGCACCGCTCCCTGTCTGATGTGCTGCTCTGCTTCCTTCATCCTTCCCTGTGCTCTGCCCAATCTGCTGCTGTATTGCCTGCCTCAATCTGTCATGTGCTATACACAGAGGCTACCTGTGCCGTTTGTGATTCCTTGTGCCACATGTTGGCCACCCTTGCACTAGAGCATTAAGGGATAGTGGTGGTGGAGCAACCGTTCTATTGTCTGAAAAAGTGGATAACTGACTCTTCTGACTACTACCACCCTACCACTCCTAAACTCTGTGCAATACATATGAAACATGTACACAGTACAGAAGCCAAGAACTGCTGAGCAGCAGTAGAAGCCAGCCACCGAAGTTCCCTCCTCACAGCACGGAGACACTGTGGTGGTGTCCACACAAGCGCAGACATTTGTCTCTCTGGGGACAAGAAGCAGAGGCGCACCTTGTGCCACTTCTACTTGTCCCTGGGGAATGCCTGTGCCATGCATGCTCTGATGTGTGGCAGGTTACCCCAGGTGTGGTAGGGGAGGCTGGGGCCACCAACTTTGCTGGCTTCAGCAGCCTTACCTGGGGTTCTGGGGGCTGGGAAAGCTGTAGCCACGGCACTCCTGCTCCAGTTTTAGGCAGCGCACACTGTCACCACGTGCACCACCCTGCTTTTTTTCCACATGGGTTTTTCTGACCCTGGAATTTCCTGGGGTCAAAAAACCCACCCACACTGCAGTGTATGGTGCCCATGAGTACTTGAGACAGTCCTTGGTGGGGAGACACTCACTGGAATTTTGGTGCTGTCTTTTTTCTGTCTTGCTCAGAACAGGACTCACTTGGCAGCTCCAGAGATTCTTCAGCACTTAGAGCCTGTAACATTTTACATGTTTACAGTATTGTAAGAAAACACCACATGCTGTCACAAACCTAAATGCATCCTTCAACTCTGTCCAAATTCTTGCTCAATCCATCCGGTAGGCTCTGCAAAAATGTCAGTACAGTAGAGTACATGACAGTATTACACCCTTAGAACACACACACACACCCCGCACACTCCCTACAGCAAGAATATGGTTTGTACAGGAATTCAAAGAGCATCCCAGAGCATGAAGTTCAGGACAGGACAAAGGGAAATGAGCCCTCCAGGACTGTCTCTCTCCTGCCGCTCACTTCAAGTGTCTCATACTTCTTGTTTCTGTCATTCTCTGCCTCCACTTACAAGGCACCCTTATTCTGAGCTCACTTATTTCCCTTCTCAGTTCCTCTCAACTAGATTCTGCTCCCGGAACTCTGCTAGTGGTTTGCTGCTCCTCCCATGTCTCATTCAACCACACACTAATCAAGAAAAGAAAACAAGAGGGCACTGAGCTAGATTTGGCTACAAATTGTACCACTGGCCACAGGGATTGCAAAGCCTCATCAGGCAACTAAGCTGCTGTCTCTGCTCTGTTCTCACTTCCAACTTGCCTCAGACCAAACAACTAAATCTCAGCCTTGAATTTCACTTGCCATTGGGGCTGCACATTGCCCTACAAGTAGCGCAGTACTACACTCCATCTTCCAACTTGCACAGATCTCTTTATATTTCTTGTTTCTTCTCATTATCTCAATGTAACCAGAACTTGAGGTAGCAGTAGTAGAAGCTTTTGTGTTCATAAAGGGAAAAACTAAAAGCAGGAAGTACTTTCGTAGCCCCTGAAGTAGCACATTTGTAAATGTCAGCAGCTATTAGTTGCCACCAAGAATATGAAGAGGGAATACATTCAGGCTGTGCCAACTGGGCTGTGTTAATCTTCAGAATATGGACTAGCAGACACACTGTAAATGATTGTTCAGGTAACATTCAGCCAAAGCAAACACATTCCTAATGACCGCTAACCAATACTTTATTTTTCTTAACTTGTATGATGGGTACTTTGCCTTCGCTTTTGTTTCAAGGAAGCAATCAAAGGACCTGCACACATTACCTTTTGGGATGAATGTTTCTAGAGCTTAAAGGGTTCTGATCATTTTTGCCATATTTTGGAAAGTGGACAGAAGGTAAATGTTACTTGAACAGAAAGCAGGACACACAGCAGATAGTTCCTGGCCCACATCTGGGTGCAAGAGCAGCAGTAGCAGACTTTCCTCTTTGCCCCCAGATCAAGACCAAAGACCCAAAGCCCTGCTTCACTCTTCAATGACTTATAAAGCTGAACAGACACACAGAAGGGAACCCACTACCCCATTTCAAGAGAAGATGCAGCATGGTATACTGAACCCCCACTCTCAGGGGTATGAAGATGGATCCTGCTCCCAGAGACAAAGTTCACCTCTGGTATCCTCATGGATGATGCAATGCCATGGTATGCCAGGGTAGCTAAATGTCACAATCCACTGAAGACAGCTAGTGTTCTCATTATTTTAACATTAGTTTAAAAAAAATTAAAAATAGGAATAACATCTTGAAAAGGGAACATAACTATAACATAGGAAAGAGAGGCAAATAACCCACGCCTGCTTTATTTCCCCCCAGGTCAGGGACAATCTGTATGGATGAGTCCTCCAATAACTATAATGTAGTTAATGTAGCTTACCTGTAGGCATGAGTGAAAAAGCTATAAGGACAGAGCTTCTACTGAAAGTTCATTCAAACTTCAGTGGGATTTTTTTGTTTCTGTAATGTCCTATTGCCACTGCAAACTGAAGTGGAAGCTTCTGCCAGCACAAAGGTGGCCTTCAGCAAGGGGAAAGTTCTGCTCTTTGGAATGTCCTTGTCCTTCAGAGGCAGGGGTGGATCCAGAGGGGTGCAGTGACACAGTCGCACCCCCTTTTTGGCTGCATGCTGCATGCACAGTGAGCTCTCCAGCTAGTCTTCTCAGAGTCCATGCTTTCAGCCCTGGAGCCTGTTTGCTCTCCCCCTTCCCTGAAGTTAGAAGCAGGGGAAAGAAGACAAGTGTCAGTGGCAGCTATGCTCAGCTCTTCCTCTCATAGAGCCTAAAAGCTGCATACCACCACTTGTCCCCTCCTTTTCCCTGCTGCTGAATTCAGGCAGGAGAGTGGGAAGAACAAACAGCAGCAGGCTTGAGCTAAAAGCAGAAAAATGGTATCTGGGTAGACCCCACACTAGTGCTTGTAGAGCTCAGCACATGTAGAGCTCTGGCAGGAGCTGTGCTGACATGGTAATGAGCTCTAAAACCCAGGATCAGAGCAAGGGCACATGCACAATGAGTTCTCTTCACTGCATGCACCACACTGTGATCCACCCTTGTGTTCAGATGCCAATACAAAGGTTTGTGGCATCCCAGGTAATTTCTGAGATAAATTTGCTGATAAGGTCTGTAGGCAACCTGTGCAATCTAGTAGAAACAATTGTTTAGCTTGTGTCAATAAAGGCACGCTGCTGAGTCTGAAGAATATTCATGTGTTCAGGGAGTGAGGCGACACTGGGTGGACAATCAGGGAAGCACCTCTACAGCTGCTGGAACTGTTCTGAAGGTTAGCATTCATTTTGTGCAGCTGTGCTTAGTATGGCTTGATGAATACTTCAAACAGGTATTTGGTAGTGAGAACTCAATTTTGGAAGCATTGTGGACAGCTGTGGGCAGGGAAAACCATAACCTCTTTTGTACCGATTACCTGGGCCAGAACTATGCTAAACCACTTTGCAGTTTGCCCACTGTTTCTCCTATCAGTACCATACACTAAGCTTCTCCTGCATTTTTATAAAATAAATCATCCCTGCTGTTGGCTTTTGTCAGTCTCCACAGGAATACCGGAACCTAAAGGGAGAAGTGCTTGGTACTGCAAAATGTTTTTTTATCTATCACCCCATAATCAAAGAGAATAACTGGAACCCCCAGCAGATGCTGACAATAGGAAGCTTTGTTCAGAGACCGTCTGCCACCTTGCCCACTGTGATGCTATGCTGAGGGAGGCCTGGCTCAAACACTTTCTGGTTTCTGTTAGCTCTATGGTGGTAAGAAATGTTGAAAATATTTGGTGCATGTTCATGCCATTTCAAATCATGTGACAGCAACATTAGTTCATGTATGTTCTTCCCATAACACCAGCCCTCTGACCATTTCACTCTGTTTATTAAAGGAAAAGAGACCAAATGTTGTCAACAACTCTAGTTCAGCTCAGCCAGTCATCAGGCCACAGAAGCCCCAAGCTAAACAGGCCTTGCAACCTCCACCCCCACCTCAACGGCGATCTTCAGCAACTGTATCTTCACCTTGTCTGCCCTCAAAAGCCAAGCGAGGCAGCACAGCTTCCCTATCAGATCCTATCTCATTTCCAGCACCACCGCCTGACATGGGAAGTGATTTGCCACCCCCACCACCTGACTTCTACGAGCCTCCTCCTGATTTTGTGCCCCCTCCACCACCTTCCTTTAGCAACAGCACTGGAGATCTGGCACCACCCCTTCCACCTCCACCTCCACCTCCACCAGCTTCTGTCACCAGTAAACCATTACCCCTGACAAGGAAGCCTGGTCCACCTGCTCCAAAAAGGCAAGAGAACACTGGACAAGTAGGAGAGACAAAGTCCACTGGGGTTGAAGGTGGACAACTAGATTTCATGTCTGATCTAAGGAAAGCCCTTAACAAAAAAAGGGGCGATAATACATCCTGAAGTCTATTGGATGAACAAACTTTTAAGCTACAGCTCTTGTTGTGGGGTGTCATGCTGGGAGTGCTAGATCAGGAGCCCCTGGAGGAATTCTGCCTGCGATTAGAGTTCCTCTTGGGGATCCAAAGGAATGGGGCAGAACACCATTGTCTTCTCTGCCCCACCCCTTCACTGATCCAGCAAGCACTGCTGGTTGAGGCGAGAAATTTGGCCCCTATCCCATTCCTCAGCCCGTTTGAATGCTTAGGATTGCTGGCAGCATGACTAGTTGGATCAATCCCAGTGAGTAAATGTACCATTTCTGTGGTGAGAGTAGAGCTGATCAAAACACAAGAATTGTTTTTCATGGAAATCTTTTGGAGGAAATCAGTTTTTATGTAAATTTCCTGTACATTTTAGTTTTATCAAAAAATTGAAAAACAAAAATTTTCACTTTTGAAGTATTTTTTTTAAATACTGAAAATTTTACCCAAATTGAATGTTTCTTTTCTTCATTTTAATCAAAAAGTCATTTTTTCTCCCAAAAAATATTTTTAATGAAAAAAACCCAAACAACCAAACGAACGCAGGCATCTCTCTAGGATGCCGGGTGGCATTGCGTATTCCAAGTGCCTTCAAGAATCTGCCACGTTTACTGAAATGACTTAGACTGATATGTTCTCAGGCATGGTTAAAAATACTTTTGTCAGCAATCAAAGCTGTAACCTATAAACTTCATTTATCTTAATTATTTTAGACAAAACCATTTTAAGATAAAAAATCTGTTATTTTTTCCCTTGGTTAGCATTTTTCCCCATTCTTTTTAGCATTGGTCTTCAACTGTGCCTAAAAACATTAATTTTTATAAAAACATATTATGCCTGTGTATGAATATGTCTCTACCTACAATCTTCCTCATTTGTGATTCAATTTAATTCTTCCTTGTTCATCTGAATAGCATCTGTTGTTAGTGCTCAAATAAAAATATCTTCTATTTTATATCTGCACAAAGTGTCAAATTTAATGAGCAAACGTTTGTATTGAAATGTGGTAGCAGGCAACTTCAAGTACTTTAAGATTTTGTCTTCGGGGTCTTGCCACTTGTTTCTTCTCCCTCTCAGGCAGCTTATCCTGTAAAGCTATATATAATGAATATGTTTTGTATTGCCAGTGTTTGAAACAAGGCAAATATATTGGCTCCCAGTCATTCATAATATAGAATTGATGGCTGCAATACAATTACACTAGAAAATAATTTGTCAATCAAATCCAAGGCACGATTTTTCTGCAGTATGTCCACACATGGAGTTATTCTGCAATAGATATTATATAGGCAAGTGTACATTCTCCGTCTCTTCTACTTCCTCTTTCAGATTGTCAGTATTTAAACTTTACTAAAAGGATGAGCGGGGCAGAGTTAAGGGAGGAATGTTACATGAAGTGTTAATGACTGCCGCCAACTGGTTCATCAATCTGTGGACAACTACAGAGGTAGTTGAGGGCATTAGCTCTGTTAACCAGATGCCACAGAGCAGCATGTTCCTCATGTGCCTCTTCTGGTTTTCTGATTTTCACGAAAGTCAGTATGGCCCTGCTCACTGATGCCTAATAGAGCATTACCTGGACATTTGGAATTGATTGGGTTGGGAGTTTAGAAGCTGACACTATTTTCAAACTGAGAAATGCTATTGAAATGAGCTTGGCCAGTCAAACAGAATCCTTAGTAATAACCTTATTGATCAGACAGACACAAGTAAGTAAAGTGAAAACGGGGGTGGAAAGAAGATTGCAAACACCTGATTGTACTCTATTTCTAATTATATCAACTATGCAAAAACATCTAAAATGCTAAGGAGCCAAGTGTCATTTTGTGAAGAGTAGCTAGGTATACAAAAAAACCCCATGAAAACATCTGCTATCTGATCATTTTTATATCAAATAGCTTTTTATACACCACTCACCTATTATCACAAATAAACACATTGTGTTGATGAAACATTAATATTGTTGAGTTTCTGAGCTGATGAATTAAGTCAGACTCATTGCACAGTTTATCTAGCATTCATTGTGCTCAGAGGAACACTCAGACCTCTGCCTCATTTCCCCATCTTGTTGCTTGCTCTGTTACAACACAAGGATATTTTACATTCGTAGTTACACCAACAAGTATCTAACAATGGATGTTGTAAAAGGGGAGCTTTCTTTGAGATACAAAAAATGAGCAGACAGCCTTAAAGGAAAACTCCAGGAATAAGCTATAATGATTTAGATCAGGGCTAGCCAACTTCTAAGGAGCTGGAGGCTGCACGCTGAGCCAGCTGCACCAGTGCAAGCTGTGGGCAACCCCCTGCTCCACTATACAGTCAGGAGTCTTGGCCTCACCCTCAGCTTTCTGACTGCACACTGTCCCTCTGCACTACACCCTACGCCACAGGGTGTGCCATGCCACAGTGCCCCCTGAGGAAAGTGCAGGAAGTGGAAGCCAGTGGAGGAATGGGGAACCCAGAGATGGTTGACCCTCTCTCTTTGTTAATGGGTGGGCAGGAAATGAGGGGGCTGCAGATTAAGCCCTCACAGCCCACATACTGCCAGTTGGACAGCTCTGATTTAGATGACTGAGATTTATTTATCAGATAAAGCATGATGGGATTATATCTTGTCAGAGGTAGGCAACAATTAATCACATCATTTATTCCCACTGTTCTCTATGTATCTACCAGTGAGACCAATAACACAAAGATACAATACTGCCTTGAAAACTCAGGGACTGATACCTTCCTAATAAAATGAGATTGCAATTCCTGCCAAGTACCTCACAATGCTTTGCCCCTTCATACCAGCATCTCCACTCCATTAACAGGTTAAACTTGATCCAAAACATAATGTGCAGCATGCAGTTTCTTTTCAATCACTGAAATAATTGGAAAACATCATTCCCTGTGCTTAGTGAGAGAAACAGAATGTGAGTAGAATATCCTCAGTGGAAATGAAGACTCATAGATAGCTTCTTGTGAACTCACTGGATGGCTTAATATAATGTGGCTTCCATTCAAATCTCAAGTTATCGCTCAGTTGTATCCAAGATTGCCACAATTTAGAGTAACTGATAGAGCTAGGGAAATACCAGCATGTCTTCCATGCAGTCTTTAATATTACCATCTTCTACTCTATATGTGCAATATAAGGGTTGAATACACAAGTAAGAACTAGGGAAAAGGTGTAAGTTGCCCATGAGATCATCTGGGATCTAACTAGAAGAGTTCATGAAGGCAATTTTGCAGGACTTAGCCCACCCTTACAAGGTTTTAAAATAGGTCAGCAGTGTGGCAGAAGGCCACCTCTGTTTCTCCTCAAAAACTCCGCTCTGTGACAATTTGGTTAGGATGGGCCCAGCAGAGGATACACGCGTTTACCCTATCTCTTTAGGTAACCTGAGCTGGATACATTCCTGAGGGAGGGGGGAAACCTGCTCCCTCTGCCTACGTGACTGGCATCACATACCTGGGTGAGGGGCTTCCCCCCTGGTGGGCTAGAGACTGCCAGTCTGCCCGGCAACTAGTGATGTATTTCAAATTAATTGGCTGACAGCCAACAAGTGCTGGCCTCCATTGGACCAGGTAAATGAGGTCACAAGGGCTATATAAGTTAAGGACTGCCCAGGAGGTGGGGGCAGCAGCCATGACGGAGACTCAGAGACAGAGAAGAGCTGGAACATCTGAAATTTGCTCGCTCTCTCTCCCTCAAAACTCATGATCAAGGAACTGCCTGCCTCCAGAGGGAATCTCCACCTGCCTCTGGATGATACTTGTGAGTAAGCTGCCTGAGATCTAACTAGATATTTAGCTTGCAGTAACGCAGATGAGTGATCAAAGTCTACCCAGCCATGGGAGTTTGCTCTATGGGATTTCTCTGATTTTGCTCTACCCTCTACCCTATTCTAACCCTACCCTCTGTAACCAATAAAGTTCTCCTTTGTACCTAGTGTGGGAGACTTATTGGGAGTGGTTCTAGATTATGCCTTGAGGTCCCCTTGGTTTGGCTGACTAAGGGAGACCACTACTTGTGCTTCTGACTGAGGGAAGCATCCCAAGTTCTTGAAGTGAATCAAGTACCCTTGAGGGCTACTAGGCCTGTGTTTCCCAGGGTGTGCAGAGCCAGAATCAGCCCAGAGCCCTGGGCGGTGGCAGTGGAACCCCCAGGCTAGCGGGTGTGCTCCAGGAAGGGGGTCGGCCAGACGTGAGGCGCCCCCAGGGAGGCACTCGGAGCCTGGAAGGTGGTCGGGTGCAGTGAGGTGGGTGGCTCAACGCAGGAGCGCCACAAGCAGCATCTTGTGATCAACAGTAATGAAAGCAGACAGACAATACATGGAACAACATGACTTGGCTGTAACAGGTCTTGACAGAGTCCTTATCAGGGAAAGCCAGATGACACAAGAGTGGATTGGCTACCATCTTTACTGAAAGGCTGATGCTTTTAGTCCTACTTTCATCCTCAATTTGTCAAGGTGAAAAAGTTCCTGTTTGATTACTACAAAAGGGAACATTAATGGCATCTATTATGTCCTGTGACAACTCCCACGTGTAATTATGCATACAACCTGATTCAAAAGCTTTCTGGCATGCATCAGTGGGTTTTTGGATCAGGTCACAGTAAAATAATTTTATATAATATACGAGTTGCCCTTTAACCACACACCAAAGATGAAGTAAAAGTCACTTTTTGCTGCTACTGAAAAATGTGATGTTTGTGTTCAAATATGAGTGTTATAGACATACATCATATTTCACACTTTCACTATTGTTCCATGGTGCAGAGATGTGATGGGGGCATCATTATCTGGCCTACATATGCAAGACACTGATTAGATGCTTGGGTCAAAACGAACTAGAATTTTTCCTTTCAACTTTGGTTTGGTTGGCAAAATTGACTTTTCCACATTCCACTGTGCTATATAATTTTTTTTTTGGTTTCTGTAAGTAGTTAAGAACCTATGTCCTTGTCAAAGGTTCAACATTTTGGGAATAAATTCTACTGATGAAGAATACACCCTCCTTTCAGTAACACTCTCCTTTAATGCTGAAGGGCTTAGTTTGAACACCTCTGCTAATCCCAACTGTGGCAGTAAGGCACTTTTTATAAGGAATGCTGTCTTATCTTGAAGCAAAGTTCCCCTTAACAAGCAACCTGCCACATTCTATGCTAGCTTCAGCTTCTCAAGGCTGCATAGGGGTCATACTATGCACAGTACATTACAGAAATTTAATCTTACAGTGATAAACACAGAGAGAACTATAACAACATGTTCTAGTCCTGAACAGGAGACGGAAAGAAGTACGCTTGACTGCCATTTCTAACCATGCCTCCAGTAACAGCCCTAGTATGCCAAGCATTGCATACCCACACTAGAGAGAGCTGAATTCTCTCAACCAAAGGTGCTAATACACTTCTCACCAGTTCTTCCTGGGGACTATTGGTATCAGCCTTGATGCCAGTTAGAGGATGAGTTTCTGGGAAGGAAACTATGTTTTTTCCAGTGCTGAACCTCATATGAAAGGCAAAGATATTTTGATCAAGAGCGCCTGCAGGAAAATTCTTTGGTACAAAGAAGTTAACAGCTTTGGCTCCTGTAAAAAATCTTGCAATGTTTTTGTGAAATGGCATCCCCAACTCACTGAGTCACCAATCTCTTCCCATTAAAATCCCAATCTCATTCAAAAGCATCTAAATGCCTTAGCATTACTCTCATCCCCCACATAACTTCTACCACCAGCAACTGTTGCACCTTATCTGGAAGACAAACAGACAAACAGCAAGGGGGGATGTCACAACCCAAAGTTGTGGATTTTTGATCGTGTGTGCTTCGGCACCGCTAAATTATGTTCCCGCCGAATTGCAGCTCTTTTGCACAACGGAGTGTTCTGTTGTTATAGAGAACCTGCGTGCAGAAAAGTGTTTCCCGCCGTTTTGTAGCCTTCTTTGCATTGTGCATTGCTCTTGCATTATAGTGATGCACGCTCCAAAGGAGTTCCCGCCAGTTGTATTGAGATTTGAGCCACATTATTGGCCGGTCTTAATTTAGGCACACGTGGCAGCTAGCTATTGGCTTGCTAACCTAAGAGGGCGATAGAGGCTCCAATTGCCGACCCCCCGGAGCCTAGCAACCTCCGGGGCACCACTTACCGATGGCCTCTAGCCTCTCCCTGTCACCGATCGCAGCCCAGACGAATCCCTACCCTAGAACCCAGTTATCGAAACCACAGAGTCTGAACCACTCCGAGGATCCTGGGAACCAAGTTTTAGAGTCCTCCAACGAGGATTGAAGCGGAGCTGCACCTGGAAACTGTCCAGCCTACACCGCGACCATCTCCGGTGTAAGTAAATAATCTTTTCAATCAACCATTACGCCTCCGTGACTGATTCTAGCTCAAGCGTACTACTCCACCCTGCGACTTTTCTCCGGCCCCGCGTGCCCGGGCTGCCGGCCACAGCCCGCGTGCACACAGACGGGCCCGGCTCACGCCCGGCGAGGACGGGACCGGGATCCGGCTTGCACACCCTGGAGTAGAGAAATTCCTGATTTTGGCCATGTAGCTCAATGGTGCTTAATCTTTTGGCCCCATTGGGCTGAACTGGGCTCTGCCTGCCAGGATCAGGCCTTGTACCACCTCTCTCGGGCCCTGCATCACTCCACTTGGCCCCATGCCACCCTGATCAGCATTGCACTGCCTCATGCCACCCTGTACCAACCCCATGCAACCCCACACTGCCCCGGTTGGCCCCGGGCAGCCCCACACTACCCTGTGCAGCCCCACATGCTCAATCTAGCATGCACAGCCATGCTATCCAGTCTACAAAGCTCCCACTGGGTCTGAACATTTGACAGTAGAGGAACACCAGTTAGCTGCCATTGCTCCCCCACCAACAAATTTCTGGACCCATGAGGGGCTGCAAGCTGGATAACATGGCGCAGCAAGACAGATCTGGCCCAAGGGCTGGGGGTTAAGCACCCCTGATATAGTTAAATCACAAATCCATGACTTCCTTCTCCTCCTACTCTGATTTCCTGTTGCATCAGGTGCCAAATTTTTGGTTTAGATTTACTACGTGATTATATCATCTCACATTATGTCAAAAATTTTACATTTGAAACCCTGTAGCATTTAGGGATATTGTCCTGAATAATCATCCCATTTTCACCAAATCCTCAGTAGGATAGAGGTAATGAAGAGAGAAATCTAAGATGGACATATGTGTGGAACAGTCATTATACTGCTCAAAGGTCTCTATTTCAGAACCAAGAGATGTAACAGAAGTTTGGAGTTTCTAAACCAGTCATTTTAGGTGTATGAAAAATGGAAACAATGTTAGGAACAGGTTTAGGAAGTGAGCAGGGGCAGATCCAGGGGATTGCACTGGTGCACTTGCACCCCCCTTTGACTCCTGCTCTGTTCCACCCAAAGTATAAAACCAACTGCCTGACAGTAGCAGCAGCATTTCTAGTCAAACACTGCTGAGGGACTCAACTGAGTTCATGGCTCACTGCAATCTACCTGATCCCATCTAAACTCTTCATTCCACAAGTGTTAATGACCCTCTCTGTGTTTATGGTCTTAATGTTCCACCAATCAACCAACCTTTTCTGCAATTCTGCTGTCTGCTAGCTGCTCCTGGTAATGAAGCTCCTATTTCACAGCCCTACAGATTGTTTTTAACTCATTCTAATGCAGTTGTATTTGTTTCTGTTTCGATACAGCTCTAGTCCCTAGCATATTAGTAAAGCTCCTAGTTTATTTTTAACTGGAGAAAAATGTGTGCTGCTTCATATGTGATAATGCACCTCACCATCTGTACTCCCACTTTTCAAAATTCTAGATTTACCCATGGAACTGAGAGCACCTCCTTCCTACACACTCAGATCTTCAAAATAACGGATCTCCTAAATAATCTGATTAGCCAGAATAATTTTACTCTGTCATAAGGACACTCCTATGAAATTTCATGCAGCTTGTCTTAATTTGGATAAAGCTGGGGTGTTAATAATGAAAGGCAAGCTCAAACAGTAGTAATGGGAAGTCTACAGCAGCAGTATTAAGTCATATGCCTTCAACTGTATCCCCATTTTTTGTAACATTTTTGCTAAACTTTCATAGTATCAGGTGGCTCAATGGAAGATTTGAAAAGCATCTTGATCTAAATTTGTATAATGAGATGTCTTCAAGAAGATTCTTTTCTATGTCAACTGAGCAGACATCCCTGGAGGGACTACAGCACTGCACAATAAACTGCAGTACTTCGGTCAAATGCTAAAACTTGAGGAAGGGTTGAACTAAGCCTGAACGGCACCAAAGTCTGCAAAGAAAGTCTCCCTCTAGCCTTCACCTGTTCATTCCCTTGATACAAAAACAAGCAGCATTGAAGATAAATAAGCAGAAGTTGGTCAGGTCAGTATTTCTGTGATATTAATCCTGTCCTGCTAAGTGTTATATTTTTCTCTTCCTCCAAATTGGCAAATGCCCTTTTCAGAACAGAATAGTTATATTCCAGACATACTGGGTGAGAACAAGCTATTGTAGGAACAAAAATAGGTCAGGCACATTCTAAATTAACCAGTCATTAAAAATTAGGGAGACACAGCTAATCAGGCCCTCAGCTGTAGGGGCATGGATGTGGAGAGGTTAACAGAATAGCCTGACAGGACTGTATCTTCTCTACACAAATTAATGCATAAATATATAGGAGGATCAGAGCTGTAAATGCTGGTATCTGTCTAGTAGCGTAACCACACAGGGCTCCATTTCTCTTGTTTTTATTACTTTTATAAAGTTGGTTACTTAGCAGATTGAAGGAACCATGCCTGCAGTAAACCATAATGGGAAGACAGGATGGTGCTGCCTGATTCTCAAATCCAGTTTGAAGGCTTAAACTCTGACCCAGTTCATTGTCTTTTGCTTCCACTGTTCTTTATCAGGATGAACAGCTAACTTTAAGGTCTTTGGCCCAAGTTGGTGGATGCAGTGCGTAGCCAGCTTTCTCTGCCACTGACTGCCTCTGGAAGGGATGCTGTAAAACCTGCTGCAGGAGATGAACCTGGAAACAAAGGAATAAGTCACTGTACACAAGACTGCTTTACAGTTTGCCTCAGGCAGAAAAAAAATCTCTGTAATTTTATACCATGCTCAAATTAATCATCCTCAAATCAAGGGATTGCTGATGATGACAAGCAAGCTAAGTGGTGAACAAGGAAATACTCTACCAGCTGCTTAGTAGTATCATTCTTAGGTTGTGAATAGGCATCTCCCTTGTAACAACATGAAAAGTTTTATGGTGGAAAAAAACACAGATGTGCCCAAAAACATTTGCACAACAAAACCTATCAATAGTTTGTCCTGCTTCATCAAGGTGGACACTATACAGTTATGGTGCATTAGCTAAATGCACGGTCAAAGAATGGCGGTGCATACTACACCCCTGGCACACAGGACCCTGGAATCGGAGAGCCTCTCCCCAGTCCCAGGGTCCCCATGTGTCAGGAATGTCTAAAAACCATATGTACAGCACAACTGACTGCACACAGTTTTTAAAAGGTATGTAACCCCCAGCTGGGTAGCACGCACAGTTTTTTAGTCATCGCCAGCACACAGAGACAACAGGATCATGGAGACATCCCATATCCCAGAGTTCCCCTGTGCCAGGGATGTCAGCAAACCGTGGGTGCACCTGGGTGGCATACATAGTTTAAAAAAATCCGAGCACCTCGGAAATGGGCCAACAATCAACTGCCCATGACAGGGGCAGGGGGGAACCAGAGCTAAAGAGCTTCTCCTGCTGGGTACTTTAAACCCCAAGCACAACAGTTCTGGCTATACTGCCAAGGCCTAGGAGATCAGAAGCTCCCAGCAGGGTTTAAAATCCCCAGTGGGTAAAGCCCTTCAGCTCCCCCGAGAAGCCTCTTTTGTCCCAGACTCTCCAACCAGACGTGGGGCTGTCCCAGCCAGGACTGATAATCAACTGATTGTCGGTTTACCATACAGCTTACCAAATATCACCTTCTTTAAACCCACTGTGATAGGTGATATTTGGACACACCAGTCTTTATCATAGGACATGTTGCTGCACAGCTGGTGCCACAACAACTGCATTGTCTGTTTATAGTCTTAGAGTACAGCACTGGCCATAGTATTATGAACATGCTGCTTGTTTCATAAATTAGATAATATGGAATGCAAATCTATACTTTACCCCTGAAAAATCATTCATTTCAGCTTTTCGTATGGCTGACTCTGCCATCCAATTTCTAAGCACATATCTAGGATTGATACCTGAAACCCAAGAAAAATCCTGTTAAACAGTTAAAAAAAAGTTCAATACATACTCTATCAAAGCCACCCACATTCCTTTGACATTTCAACTGACAGGTCCTTGGGAAGGCTTAGTACAACTCAATCAACAGTAAAACAACATAAAAAGATTAGAATTGTTAGATTAGAATTAGATTAGAAAAAAGATCAATTACATTTGTTTTTGTGAGCTATAAGAAGGCATGTATCACACACCTACTAGTACTTGAGACCCACTGCTAGAAGAAAAAGTACTTACCAAATAATGAAGACTTTTGGTTTTTTAGTGATCAACTTGTTAGCAACCAGGACACAACCAAGTGGAATTGAATATGATGATGCAAAGGATTTTTCAGTGTTGAGCCCTAATTCACTTTTCATTAGCTATTAGTATCCTGCAATCCAGATCCATAGTGCCACCCCAGAAGTTGAACCCTCAAATATAATCCTTTATAGAACAGTATTTTTGGAAGTTTATTTGTTTTATATTCTTTCCATATAAAATTATGCAATAAGATGCCAACCCTTGGCTTTAGGTATCTTAGTACTTTTGCTGATTACATATTACAGCAACTTCCCAGCAATTCTGAAATAACCATGGCGGCAGAAACTCAGCCAGTGAAACACCTGCAGGAACTCCTTTCTTTGCCTTCATTGTTATGGGCAGCATACTTTTGCCCCTCCCTAAAAGCACTATCAAACAGCTGTCTTCTGCGGTGTGTAACAAAGGTCACTAAATTTGCAGTATTTCAAGATCAAAAAGGGAATAGTAACAAGTTCCCAAGTACCAGAGGCTTTGCAGAGAACACTCTGCCAGCTGCCCTGCCTTCTGCAATGGAAGGGCTCAAGCTCAATGCAAATGATTTGCCATTGCCAATAGTGTATGAAGGATCACAGCAATAAGGCAGGGTATTGTTTAAAGGCAAAGGGGAGGTTTATGATGTTAGTAAAGATCTGTACCCAGGTCATTTTTTTTTCAAGTTAACACATCATAATGCTGACCAGAAAAGCCTTCTATCTTCAACCTTTGTGGTATTTATTTCAAAACTACATAGACGCTTTTGTTATTTCCAGGCATTGTATATTTCCTATTGCAAGTACATCGATCCATTCTTTGCTCTCTCTTGTTCTTGTGTTGCATACTGATAAAGGAGAAGGAGAATAGGAAACATGTGCTATTCCATGTGTGTTACATGAAACCAGGATGAAAGTGTGCTAAAAAATTATCACTCTTCTTTCAAACAACTAATTAAGGGGAAGCATCATAATGGCACCTTTTATTACAGCATTTGTTGGCAACACCCGTGGGAGCTACATTTCTTCTCCGACATGTTCCACACAGATTGAGAGGCAGTCAGGCAGACTTTGAAAATGAAACTACTAACTCAGTATATATCTTCCAGAAGGGCAAAAAACAAACTATAAAAGAAGCTTGTACCAGGATCCTGAGATCAAAGAGAATTCCTGTAAGTAGATTGTGGGTATGGACATACAAAATAATTATACTGATTGAAAGAAGGATGGGTCCACTTTCAAACTGCTTCTTTGCAACTGTTTCATCTCTTCTCCCTAACTAAATCTGGATTGGATATCAGGAAAAAGACTTCTTCACTAATAGAACAGCAAGGCAGTGGAACAGACTGCCTAGGAAAGTGGTGGAATTTCCTTCATTTTCAAAAAGTTAGATAAGCATTGGTCAGGGGTGACGTAGGAGTAGCTAGGCCTGGTGCACAGAGTAAAGAGCAACAGTTGGAAGTCCAGAAGCCCACCACACATGGATCACTGGGAGATAATGAGAAGAGCTCTGTAGTCCGTGGCAGATGGAGATTGGAGATGATTATTAAGCCTGTGCAAAGCAGCTAGTATTCACTTTGGATTCAGATTTGGGGGACAGTGTTTTGATTTGGTGATTTGAATCACTGTCCCAAATTGATTTGGCTGAATCTGATTCGCAGATCCGGCTGCTGCCAAATCAGTTGAATCTCCAAATCACACAGGCCCCACCCCCCGCCCGCTCTCCCAGCCCCGGCAATGGCTCTTTGAAAAGAAAAAGCCCTGATTCACTGGCTGCTGCCTGGCAGGGGGAAATCCCCACTGCCCCATGCCGCATGGGGAGTCAGTTCCTGCCTGGCGGGGGGTGAGCCCCACTGACTGGCACTGCATGGCATAAAATGTAATGTCTGCTAAAATCTTTTTGTCTCCCTTTAAAGTTCTGATACTAGGTGCAGCTATCTTCCCCTCAAATATATATATATATATATATATATACATATTTCTAGTACACAGCAGGTCACCCCTCAGAATTCAAATGAGACACTACATCCTTGATTTGGAAGGGGAATGACATGGGCAGACCGTTGTGGGACTTCACTGTATTTGACAGATTTCTTTGTAAAACTGGTGCCTGGGTTAGCAAACAGATTTCTCTGATAAAACTCACTGTTTCTAAAAAACTGCATTAGTCTAACTAATAACTAGCATTTCTTGAAAATCTAGCTACTTAACAATCATATAATTTATATAAAATTCCTGTAAATAATAAAGTATTGTTTCCACACCAGAAATCTCCACAAGATACTACAGACTGCATGCAGCAGGTTACTTGCTCTAAGACAGCCCAACTGCTACTTCAGGCACAAGCTACAGTGCTCAGTCAATATGTACATCTATGCAAGGGTTAATACGGGACTCCATCCCCTCTGCTTGCAGAGGCCAGAGACAAGAGGCAGCCATTAAGAGCGTTGTTTCCACCCTGTTTCTATTCCAGCCTGAAAAAAAAAAGCAGCCTCACAGCTTAAGAAATGCCCTCAATTTTGGATGGCTGATTTTTGGGAAAAAGGTGCATGAGGTATGTCAGAAAATACAGTATTTAGTGACTCACGGTACCATTATATTCCTTATCCTGAGACCCGGATGTTAGCAGCATAGAATAGGCTGATGACTGATATTATTTAGAAATGGCACAAACAAGTTTCTTTAGAACCATATGGTAAAGCTGGGGCTACGCTTTTGAACTCTAAGCTCCCCAAGCTAGAGGCAGCTGGCAGTATTACAGAAGTGAAGCTCTTCTTCAACAAGGCAAACTGTGGTTTGAAAGACACTATTCACAATGAATCTCTATCTCCCAAAGGCACAGTGCCAGAGGGAAAGCTGCTTTTACTGGTAAACTTCATCAGAGGCATTGAGATAATGTCTAAGTACAGTTTTCCTTATGGCATAAAATGCATATTTATTAAAATCACACCATCATGATACCATCTTTTAAACACTAACAACCTACGATTACAGGGCATTTTTATGGAATTGGTAGAGAATCTGAAGCTGGAAGGTAACATGGGTAAGAGTGGATCACAAAATGATAGAGCTCATGATCCTGAGGAAAGTAAAAAAGACTAGCAGAATAAAAACGATGGACCTCATAAAAACAGGCTTTAACAAATTCAGGGAACTGGTAGGCAGGATCCCATGCAAGATAAGTGTAAGGGAAGTAAGAGTCAAGAGTTATTTTTTCCTTAAAGAGACATTAAAAACTGGCCATCCTGACTGAAAGAAAGTTTGAAGGGTAGTAGGAGACCTTTTGGATTGAACCATGAGTTCTTCAATTACTTGAATCTCAGAAATAAATGTTATAGAGAGTATTACTAAGAATGCTTATAAGAATACAGTATGAGCATGTATGGACAAAATCAAAGAAAGCCCAAACAAATTGTTATATGGCCAGCAAGGAACATAAACGGCAAAAAAAGAAAGCATTTGATAAATACATTAGAAGGAAAGTATAGGTCTCCTACTAAATAGGGAGGGAGAATGTGGAAAAGTTTGAAGTGTTCAATGCCTTTTTACTTCAATCTTCACAGAAAAATTCAACTCATATAACTAACACAGCTATCATCAAGGACACAGTGGCAGATATGCAACCTAGAACAGGGAAAGAACACATGAGAGGTTACTTAGATAAGCTTAGTGTTTTCAGATCAGCCTTGCTGGATAAGATTTATCCTACAGCACTCATACAGCCAGTTGAAGTAATTACTGAACCTCTGACTATTATCTATGAGGATTCGTGGAGGTGAGGTAAGCTCCCAGAAGACTTGGAAAAGGCAAATAGTGCCCGTTTTTTAAAAAAGGGAAAAAGAAAGATCCAGGGAATTACACATCATTCACGTGTAAATTCACTACCCAGAAAGATATTGGAGCATTTCAAACAAATCAATATGCATCTAGAAGATAACACGAAGATATGGAACAGTCTGTATGGATTTGTCAAGAGGAAATTGTGCATATCCAACCTGATTTTTTTCCATGACTAACTAACAGGCCTCCTGGAGTGTGTAGGGGGAGTACTGCGCAGCGTGATGCATTCACTTTTGAGCCCGGTCTCTGACATGCCTGGAAGTGGGTGTGGGAACAGGCTTCACTGATGTACTTATGCGTTTGAAACATGCTTGCAGATTCAGGTGCGTGGGGCATGCTCTGTCCTGTCCTTGCCAACACCTCCTGCTGCCACGGAGTAGACATGTCCTGAGAGGTTTGGGATTCATTGAACTGGAAAATATACAGTCTCCTATTAAAACTAGCTACCACGTTTGAGAATGGGAGGGAAACAGACAGCGCCTTTCCTCATCATATTAAATATAGGTTAAATTTGTAGAAAAGAAAATTAATAAGCAAATTATAAAAGAACAAATAACTTATGAGAGGACCAAATCACCATAGCTTTTGTAGAAAGAAACCTGTGCCTCTTGAATCTACATGTTTTTTAAACCACCTCAAAAAACCTGTAGATAAAAAGAGAAATAGACATAATTTATTTGAACTGCCAAAAATTCTTTGGCACGTTTCCCAACAAAAGGCTGCAATCACAGAGTGCAAGGGAAAGAATCACCAGGGACTGGAAGGCGGCTATGAAAGAGAACCAAAGAGAAGAAACGCAATGTTAATTTTCAATATGACTCACAGATATGTAGCCAGGATCAGAGTTATTTTAAATGTATTATGAAGTGATTTGGAAAGGGGCATAAACAGCAAGATAGGAAAATATACCAATGACAGGAAATAATTTAGTTATGTCAAGATTAGAGAAGACTGTGAGGGAATTCAGGAGGACCTAAGCAACTTTAATGAATGATCACTACTATGACAAATGAAATTCAATATGGCTGCATGCTCGTTAATGCAAGTTGACTACTTTTTAGGGTAGAATTACACAAACTACACTCTAACAGGAGTAGAAATACAGGTTTCCCTCGCTTTATGCTGTAAATGCATTCCTGGAAAACAGCGCATAACTCGAATTTGCATAAAGGGAACCCACTTTACAATGTAACAAATAGGGATATGTTACAAGACCTCAATTGTACTGACCCCTCAGACCTATTTCTACCACTTTCACAAGACAATTTTGGTACTCACCAACAGCAGACCGTACACACAAGCACAGGGCACTATCAAAATAGGGATGGCAACTACAGAAACACGTGTCACAGACAATGACCGAGGAGCACAGATCCACACAGGAGACTATATGTTGGTCTGCGTCACACCCACAATGAACCGCACAAAGCAGCTGATTGTGGGCTTCCACCACATTGATCTCATAAGAGTGAATTTACTTCACATATAATGAATTTTTGGTATAAAAAGGGTCATTGCATAAGACCGAATTCGCACATACAGAACCGATATAAAGCGAGGGAAACCTGTATCAGTGAGAAAATAGGGATTCAAAATGAACATGGCCACAACCCCCAGCAGGTGCACAGTAATGGCACATATCTAGTCTTTAACTTATCAGTAAAACACAAGGTAATCTCCTATTTTTTTACAGAATAAGAATCAATGAAAGCTTTTGAAATAAGTGCCTGATCACTATCTATCAAAGGACTGTGCCTACATACTGAAGATTCAATTGGAGAGATTGAATTAAAGTTGTATTCACATCTTTCAAGGCAGTGTGGTAAATTAAAAGTGAAGTTTATAATGACTTGGGTGCAAAGTATGATCAGATCCCAGGGTCACACCAAGCTATTTTATCCTCAACCTGTCAGCACTCAAAGGTCATTTATACACAAACTCTTTATAAATGTAACATGGTTCAATGTGGACCACAAAGTAACCAGGCAAAAATCTCTCCCTGCATCTCTCACTTCAGGCTTTGACTTTAAACAGGTAATAGAACAGCTGACTAGTCAATGCTAACTGATAATCCAAAGAACGCATTTCGTCCCTGAGTTTGGATCAAGAATTAACCTGAAAACATATAAAGTAAATGAAGTGATTTGTTCCAAATTTACCAAACAGAAAATTATTTTAAAAGTGTTATTAATAAAATCATTCAAACATCATTAATGTTGTTCAAATAAAAGTCCCTTGTGGCCAAAGAAAGGTAGCAAAGAACAACTTTCTCACTACTAATGGAAATAGCTTATACCTATGCAGACTGTTCCTGCTTGAATTAGAAGGTACACCAACTGGCTTGAGCCATGCCTGTAATATTCATAAATGGCTAGTGCCATCTTTTTATTTAAATCAGGGCTGGTGAGCCTCTAAGTGGTCAGAGGCTGCAGGCTGTGCAAACACATCATGCCACCCCAGTGCCCCAACACTGAACCGTGTGGGCCCCCCATCATATGGCACATGCCTTCCCCCCTCCCCACAACTGTACCGCAGTGGGTACTGCAGCACCATTATGCAGGTGCCCCCCACCACTGCATCATTCCAGTTACCCTCCAGATCACAGAGTGCCTAGGTTCCCCCAAAGCTCTCTAGCTGCAGGTTCCCTCGGCCTACACAAGCATCACGGTATTCACGGCTGATGCGGGGTGGGAAGAAATAGAGATGCTATGCACTCTCTATTCTGATGCTTGCTGTTGTAGATACCAGTAAGTGTATGCTGATGGCACTCAACACAAACTACACAATCACTTCTACTACAAGATTGCAATGGCTGCAAGAAATCAAAGACTGGGTGAGAAGCAATTTCTCAAACTAACCCAAACACAAACTATATGAAGCTCATCAGAAATGGGGAACGATTTGAAGAATGAGACAAGACACTGTCTCTGGATTCTGGCAGATCTTATGCCAGGGGGAAAAATATAGGAAATGGGAACTGAAGCAGTCTTAGTTGAGGACAGCCAGCTACAGGACAAACTTCCAGAGAGACTAGGCATATCTGTATCTGATTTTCTTTAAGGAAAACTGTAAAACTTTCCTTTTCAAAAAGATCTTTCCACCACAAAAATGACATTGACATGCTCCCTTCAACTTAAAAGAAACCACCCAAACGAAACAAAATATTAAATTAATGAAAACTTAAAAGGAACTGAAAATACAAACCCTATCGTATGTACAGGTTTACCCCGAAAAGAAAAATGCCAGAAACTCCAGAGTCCACCAGGAATTTTGCTACTGTTATCAATTTTATGTGGAAGGCACTCAAACTTTGAGTTTTCAGTAATGCATACACAACAGAAATGCACCCTTCTATTATATATTTTATAAATGAAATTCTAGTTAGAAAAGCATGATGAGAACTGGTCTAGTGATTATTAGGGGCTAGAAGCTAGGATTCCTGGGATCAACTAGCACTACTATCACAATCAACTATCACTATGCTTCGTGATCTATTTGGTAATTTTGAACAAGTCACTTAAACTATGAGACCCAGTTTTCCCATGTATAAAATGGATACCAACATAACAGCATTAACCTACTTCACAAGACAAGTTTGCTGATTATTAATGTAAAGTGCTTTAAGATCTTTATATAAAAGGGTTGTACTGAAAATGCTATTGCACTATTAAAGTGAAAGATATTTCAAAAAATTCTATTTTTCTCTAATATTTAAGATTTCTTTCAGATATTGTAAATTTCTTCTGTAACATTTGGAGCTACAATACAGATTTACTTGCTGAGTTATCTTCTGATGTCATGTTACTGCCCAGTGGTATCTGTACTGGGGATGGCAGACGCATTGAATCTAGCTATCAGAATCAAACCAAACTCGACCTTTTTGTCTTATATACTGGGCTAAATTCATCCCCAGCTGTATCTTGTTTTACTTGCCCTACAGAATGCATATGTGCACATGAGTATGTGTAAATGTGTGTGCAAACTGGAGTGAATTTCACTGTGGGAATTGTACTTGAGCCATTTAAAATAAGTGTTCACAGAGGAGCACATTTGGCTTTAATCATATAATGAAACTGACCTTTGTAAAATGAAAACCATTAAGTAGTAACTGTGTGTTCATGAATATTTTTCACCTAAAGTAAGCTGGCAAAGCAAAAAAGGTGATATTATTTAAGACTGCATACTTATGGAGAGGCTTAGATATAGTTAATTTAAAGTAGGAGTAGGAATAATGTTTTTAGAATGGTTGGCCCTGTTTTATTATTATATTTGCATTTCTGTTATTTTTGTTTAAATTTATATTATAGTTGTATGTCTGTTATGTTGTTTTTGAGAGCATGGCTTTCAGCCAGAATCCTTAATAAATTGAATTGAATTGAACTGAATTGAATAAAAAAGTAATAATTTATACAAAAGAAAAGTTGGGATGATGTGTGAATCATTTTAATCCAATTCATGTCAACTCAGAATAAAGGAATTAAAGCAGTAATGTCTGAAAGAATAAAGCCTCATTTTGAACCATGAACTTTACAACCAACTGATCATTCTGAGGTATGAATAAATACATATAACTGAAATCTGATCTAAAAACTACAGTGATGTATATCTGACCTAATTCTACTGACACAAACAGCATTATTCCAGATTTGTAATACTGTAACTACTGAGATCAAAATCTAGCCTATATTTCTCATTTTCATAGAAATGTGATATGTTTTAGTGCTCCAGAAAAGGAAGAAGTACTAGCTATGAAAAGCCATGAATTGTGCAGTTAGGCACCATCTACAAGTGTGATAGATCTTCTGGATTTCTTGAGGATTTAGCCTAGAAAGGCAAAAGACTCCCACAAAATACAATTACCTTGTCATCAAGTCCCTACCCCTCAGTCAAAAATCTGAACCTGAACCTTATCTGAACCTATACCAAGAGGCCTAGAAGATATTATCAGATACAGTCTCCCACTGAGCCGCAAGAAAGAAAATGTATGTACTTCTGTTTGTAGTAGGCAATTTTGATACTCCAGCTGTTGAAGGACTTGAATCATTCAAATGAGTGACATGTCATAACCACAAAAATTAGTTAAATGAACAGTGCTAAGTGCATGGATAGCATATATTTGTGAATAAAATTGTCACCTGACCTTTTCCAATGCCCTGAAAAATTATAATCTCTTCTGTTCATTTACTTACTTGTCATTCTTTTTCTTCTCTTACTGTCTGAATCACCTTTGTTACTATGCATGAAAAATAAGTAAAATACATTAATTTTGAGCATTTCATTTCTCTTATTGTACTTCATTTTTAGTTGCTTCTTTCCATTACAGTGATCATCTTATTGTAAATAGAGAAAGAGTAATTTCATCAGTTGAAAAACAAACATATGCCTGACATGTTTACATTTCCTTCAACATCTCTCCCAACCTTTTCCTAAGACATCACTCAGTCTCCAATTGTTTAGATTCTCGAAGTACATATACTCCTTCTGGATCTCTTAGAAATAATGCATAGAGTGCAAAGTGGCTCCCAAACTAAATGGAAACTAAATGCATTTTGGTTCACCCAGTAGACCTAATTTCCTAAACTGTATGCACTCACATACAAATATAAAATACTTATTCCCTAGCACAAATAGCAAACTACAAATCTCTCTGAATGGTTAGCAGGAAGTATCAGATTTGTGGGCATTTCCATTAGTTAACAGCATTTTTGCTATTGTTTTAATGGCAGCAGGCTTGGCCTCTTAAGTGTGAATATCCTCTGAAAAAGTGATTACTATATTTACCCAAATCCAAGATGACTGAATTTAAGATGGCCTTCCAATAATTAGATTCTAGACATTATAATTTTCCATGTCTAGAATCTAATTATTGGAAAGTCATCTTAAATTTGTCCCCCCAACCCTTGTGGCAAGGAAGCAGGGATGGGGGGCAGGTGACAAGGAAAGCAGGGAGGCAAGGAGCATGGGGAGAAGGCAGCCTGCCCCCCAATCACTTACCTTACTGTCTGCCCCTTCTTTCCACTGCTTTCCCTGCATATCCTGGCACAGAGGGAGCCCCAGAGCCGCTCCTGAGTGTATCTGCTCCTTGAAATTTAGATCTACAGTCCTTAATTTTAAACTGTCTGATATTACTCTTTTTATTACTGCCAGCTTTGCAGAGCAAGCCTACCTATGAAAGAGTCAGCCAGAATTATTGGCTGGTTCCAACCACATGGCAGCTATCCAGTGCCACTACCTTCCAGTTACACATTAAATCATATTTGTACAAGACCCATTCCTTCCCCTCCTAAAGGCAAAAAGAGTGCACAGAGGGATCTAAGGACATCTGGCCAGAAGAATCTCTGTATTACAAGCAATGAAGCATAGTTAGACACTCAGACCCCAGACTGTGTTTGCAGGGCTGGCAGTTTAAAAAAGAACTATACTTGTAAACTGAGACCATTTGATATGAAGACACTAAAAGATAATGAATATGGAACCTCTGATGTCATTTTTAGAAAGCAGTTTCAGAGCAGAACTATATTACATTCAGACAAAAAGGTTACAACAAAGCAATTACCATGGCAGCTAGCAATATGTGGAAGCATACATACAAGACTAGCATGTGAATGTATGCCTGGAGTCAATTTACAGGAAAAGCTTATAGAATATCTGACCCAAATTAAGTTTACTCTGCTTCTCTTCCATGTTAAATATACTTTTGCTGTTATTTTTCATTTGAAAATACATTGACCTTACCGTCTTAATCTTAAGAGGTACATAGTAACCCAGTCGGAAAAGAACTTGTGTTTAGCAAGGTCCTGCAGAGCCCAATACTCCTAAATTAAAAAATACAGTTAATGTTTGATGTACTGCATACCTGACAGATAGAGGATTCTAGGGCATGGGGAAATGAAGGGAAACAAAATATAATCTACAATGTTTTTTCTTCCAAATAGCTTGTCTAATGCATTTCTGCATTTATTAAAGTTGGTTCCCTTGGCTGACATGCTAGATCATTCCGTACATTAACCCTTCTTTGTGTATCTCTATTTTATGTCTCTAGGCAGAAGGAAAGCAGAGTAGATTTGCACCTTAGAGACTAACCAAACAGATGCATAAGCTTTCATAAGCAGCAGCTTACTTCATTAGATGCTATGAAATGACTGAGGGAAGCAGAGCTCCTAAATAGAAAGCAGTGATGAGAATACAAAGGGTAGGGAAA